TGAAGCTTTAGAGAATTTTCATTAAATACTTAAAATACTGTTTACAGAGCCTCTACATTTCAATACAGGAGGTTGGTTTTGATTGAATGCAATGAACAATAATTTCTGCTAGATGTCAATACTTATTTCCTTAGTATGTAATATTCTTTAGCATGAAATTCCATAGTATGAGAAAGAGCGTTTAATTCCTACTTTAGCAGCGAATTTGAAGTAGGTCCTTATCAGTCCAAAGAACCAACTTATTAGTTCAAAGGGGCACTTTTCCCTAAAGAACTATTAATTTCGTTTTGGCATTTTACGTCGAAAACTTTAAAAGGCTATATCTCTTTTCAAACCATTGACACCCTATACAGTGTGCCCGTAAAGTCATGGTGCACTTTTGATCGGTCGCAGAAAAGCAACAAAACAAGATAGAAATGTGAAATCTTCACAAAACAAAAGAAAACCTCTTACAGTTTCATACCTGTTCAGTGCAGTTCGATGTGGGCTCCATCCATGCCGTCACAGTCTACTCCGCAAAGAAAAATGGCCCTATCATTTTATCATGCATCAGGCCACACCACACGTTCACTTTAGGGTTTTTAAGTTCGTACTCTACGTGGGCATGAGGATTTTCAGCAGCCCATATTCGGATGTTATGGCGATGACCATGTCCACTAACAGGGAATGTCGCCTCATTGATAAACACAATCTTCTGCAGAAATCGGTTATCACTGTCGACCTCGTGAAACATGTCTGTAGCAAACGCAAATCGTTTGGGTCTATTTGTCGGTTTGATAGCGTGTAACAGCTGCAATTTGTAAGGGCTTCTTGGGTAACTCTTCCACATAGCCTTTACAGACTCGTCGCTGACCGATGGCCAGCCAAAACAGGGTTTGTCCAACAACTGCCGGTATCCTTCAACTGCTTGCCCACCGATTAATGTCATTTCTATGTAGTGGCGGTTCGTTGTACACGCGACGATATTCACGTTGCATTTTTGGTCACGGATTCGAATTTAGCAAGCCACAGAACACACTGAACTTTCCGTACGTAATTTAAAATCTGATGTAATTTAATATCTGAAACCTTTTAGATTTTTTTTTTGGGGGGGGGGGGAATTTTTTTGAAGAATAAATTTGTTTCTGTTATTTATACATTTCAACTTTAAAGTTTTCTCTTTTTTTCGTAAATTTTATGGTTTGCTATTTAAAACGCTTTGAGCAAAGTTTGGAATTTTGAAGATTTGATACTATAAAACTTCGAAATTCTAAACTGAGCATTTAACGAGAATATTTTAAACTGTATAATTTGATACATTCTGGCAAAGCAGAAAGTTTTTAAAATGTTAATCTATAACTAATTTTTGAGCTCCACCTTTTTCGTTCACCAATTATACGAGGAATAGTAACTATATTTTCCGGAAAAAAAATGGGAATATATGGATTATCATTATTTTTAAATTAATCTTTTTTTTAAGTAAAAATATATGCTTCTCTTACAGTTTTCTAATATTGCTCTTGATTATTTCGAAATTCGGGTAACCGTAATTAATTCTTTTTGATTTCTCCTCATTATTTCTAATGTCAAACTACAACCCAGAAATATGAATATGTTTATTTTTATGCATTTTTTATGCATTTCTGTTGTGCTCACATTCTCTATGAAAGTTCATAATGAGATTTCACAGGATTATTCCTTATATCTTAATATGCGTTTTAGCACAGATGAAAAATATGTTGCAAATACGATGTGACGCTTTCATAGCACTGTATTTTCCTTTAAAACGTCTCTTTCGTTGATTTAAAATTTAAAAAACTACAGTTTTATACGAAAAACAGCAGATTTTAGAAAATTGTTGTTGGCCGTTTAGTTATTTCTTTTTTTAATGATATATACACTATAACGCAAAATGCGAACATTGATGACTTTATTGGTAATAACATAATTAAATTATAACTGCAAAAAATAAACTAATCAAGCGTAAAGGTAAATTAAATTAAAGCATACTGAAAAATAGAAATAAAAATGTTACGTGAGTTTATAATTCTCAAATGTTTCTGCGCTTTGCAGAGTCAACCTAAATAAATAGCTAACAGTGCTTTTCTAGAACCTGCTGCATATTTTCCTCACAAAATGTTCAATGCATAAAGATAAAATATAAACCATAAGGTATCACATAATTATAATAACTAAGGGCATCACGATTCTAGTACCAAAACATTACTATGCGGCACACCTAAGAATCTAGCACCCCATCACAGTTAAAGAGATTTTTAAGTTAAACTGTAATCCTTAAAGACCCAAATAATTCTTAGGAAGGCGAAGACACACTAAAAGGATGTAAATGGAAAATAGTTTTTATTTTACTCCGATGTATTGTTATTAGCTCCAAGAATAGACTACATCACAGGGAAAATTTTAAGGAAATGTCGAAATATAATATCTTCAAACAAGGTACCCCTACATCCAATGGTCATGCACACATATCAAGAACTTTAAAAAGGAACGACATTTTTGCATGAAAATAGAGACAGCGTACATCAATGGAGGCAACTATAGTGATTTATTTTTTCTCTGATATTTATTGCAAGATAAGAAACAACAACCAGTTATAAATAACAAATCTATACAATGGTAGCCTGTTTTTTGCAGAAAAGTTAGACACAAAAGTTTCGTGAATGCCCATGTTAAAAAAGTGTGTTTCTAATGTAGGACTGCAAGCTGTAATACGTCTTACCCTAACGTCTCGTGTATTTTCAAGAGAGTTTGGGACAGAATGCAAGCCAGTCGATTCAACGAATGTCTTTTCGTCCTCTAAGACTTTTCGTATTTCTTAGGTTCGATGAAGCGTGGCTTTATAATCCATAAAAAGATGTTTCGATAATGACCTGCAGAGTATGCAATAATCTGTTTAAACAGCGGTTAGCTGTCGGAATATCCTCGAGCCCACTTACGAACCCAATCATAATTTAAGAGCTAAGCCATAGTCTGGAGCGATTTCTCGTTCATTTGCTGCAATATATACATATATTTAGAGTTTCTTCAAGAATCGTTTAAATGCGCATAAACACCGTCTTTTTAAGTTTGCAAAACAACATGTTACTTGTCAAGTTCGCTATTTTTGCTTATAATAATCATCTTCAGTTTCGGATATATATGCTTAAATGAAATAGTAAATTTTCTAATAGCTTAATGTATTAGAATATAATCTTTTCAATATTCAAAGTACGAAAAGAGTGAAAATGTGATCCTCCACATCCTTTGAAACATTTATCCAAAATACACTGGTGTGCAAAAATTAAGGACGAAGTCGAAAAATTAGCATATCAGCTGAACGAAGAGGCAGAGCGGACAGAAAGACCAATCAGGAGATTAAGTAAGGTGGTGTACGGTAGCGCATGCGCAGATATGCAGGTAGACGTAATGGAGGAGTGTCTGAGTAGTATAAAGCATGTTGTCGGTGTAAGATCAGTATTTCTGGCAAAGAGATTGCACGCCGTATAGCAGTTAAAATCACACCGAGTTGCTGCCTCAGCGAGAAATGGCGAATAATCAATTTGTTAGACGACACCTGGATGCTTTTACCCGAGGTCGAATCATTGGGAAGTTGGAGGAAGGCCGAAGTGTGACAAGTGTGGCTGCAGAGTTTGGAATTGCTCACAGCATCGTTTCACGACTTTGGAGACAATTTCAAACTACAGGAACAGCTATCCGGGGGTTTAGTAGTGGTCGTCCACGAGGAACCACACCCGCAGATGACCGGTATATTACCTTACAGGCCAGAAGAAACAGGCGGCAGACAGCGGGAGAAATCGCTAGACACTTGACACAGGCGACTGGACGACCGATATCGCGTTTTACCGTGGCCAGAAGACTGCACGGTGGTGGTCTGTTTGCACGACGCCCTGTACAGTGTGTACCTCTAAAGCCTGCCCATAGGAGAAGGCGTTTTCTGTGGTGCCGGGAACACCGGAATCGGAGAGACAATGAATGGGGACGAGTACTCTTTAGAGATGAGAGCAGATTCAGCCTGAGTAGCGATTCTCATCGCATACTCATCTGGAGAGAGCGGGGAAGCCGCAATCATCCCTCGAACATCATTGAAAGGGACAGGTATAGAGGTGGCGGTGTCCTCGTTTGGGGAGGCATCATGCTTGGTAGTCGTACAGACCTTCACATCTTCGACGCAGGTTCAGTCAACGGGACCCGTTATTGTAACGAGAATCTTCTTCCATATGTGCGTCTTTTTAGAGGCGCTATGAGTCCGCAGTTCCTTTTCATGGACGACAATGCACCATGTCATCGCACAGTAGCTGCCGAACATCTCTTAGAGAGTGAGGATATTGAACGTATGGATTGGCCGGCACGATCTCCGGATCTAAATTCCATCGAGCATGTATGGGATTTTCTAGGCAAACGCTTGGCAGCTCGTACCTTACCACCAGTAACGATTCCGGAGCTTCGATTGGCGCTGCAAGACGAATGGGCGCAATGCCTCAACAACTCATTGACACCCTCATTCTCAGCATGGGCAGACGCTGTGAAACCTGCCTAGCAGTCAGGGGAGATCATATCCCCTATTAAAGACCGGATGCTTCTTGCTATACACCCATCACAGGGATGTTTCGGCCTTCAGTCGCATTGCGCTCCACGCTACTTTTTCAATAAAGCTTCTTTTTATCCCTCTGATTTCTCTTTTAGTAAGTGTTGCTTACATTACTCATGTCCTTACGTATTGTTGATCTTACGGTATTAAATGTGTTGATTTGGAAAGCTTTTGTACAAAGTTATATTGAAAAAACCGTCTCGTCCTTAATTTTTGCACACCAGTGTATATTGTTTCAGTACCATAGGTCGTGCGCATTCGACAAGTGATATTTTAGTATATGACATTATATGTATCGAATTCGAATGATGTTTATGTTTGAAAAAATGAATTTTGTTCAACCTCAGTTTTATTCAGAAAATATTTTGCTCTAAGAAATTTTATTCTAACTTGTGTTTATTCTCTTTCATAGAGGCATCCCAGCAAGAGCGATGGAACTGACTTGGAATAAATTACTGCTTCTCTTAGGTAGTTATTAGTTAGTCTTTTAGCTTTGTTATTTTGAATAAGGTAACGAAATATATTTTCATTATAACCCTGAAGAAATAATTTACATTGAGAAATGTGTTTCTGAATGTGTTTACCCATTACATAAGTGTAGATGAACTTACTTCTATTTTCAGGTTTGCTAAGCTCTGCTGCGTCTGAATCAAATGTAAGTCGATATTCCTTTCTGTTAAATATTAATGAAAAGTAAATTTCGCTATTTTTAAGTTAAATTATCAATGAATATATTGAAAGCAAAATACGCGTTTAACTGGACAGCCTAGTGAAAATGAAAAGGCATATATCACATATTTAGCAATTCAAGGACTAAAATTTTGTCTAAAACAGACAAAACTTAAACTAAAAACAGTGGTTTCTGCTTATGCAGTGTCTTGAGATTTTCTCTTATTTTACCACGTCTACTCTATTTTTATGACTACTCTATTTTTGAGTGTATTGGACGTCCACGTTGCCCGGGCACAGTCCGCTGGTTTCTTTTTAACTGCCAGATTCTTGTATTAACACAATTAAAGTAATAATGGTCCGTGTCACCTTCCTCTCCGGAGTATCCCTAAGTCTGAATCTGTTGAGGTATACTGGGAATGGCCCATGACCTGTCAAGAATTGTGTGTTAGGCTAGCACGATGGGTCGACTTCCATGCTAACTTTTGGCAATCCTTCGTCCTACCTCTGCCTCTGAACATCCATTTTGTCAGTTTTGTAGCAAGCTTATCAAAGTTTTTTTTAACTTGAGATGAAGGAAATTTATTAGGTTGTTCTAGTAATTCCGTGCTATTATCTGCCTGCTTGGCAGCTTCATTGCCTTGAATCTCTGTATGAGTGGAAACTCATTTTAGAGCGAGTCTTTGTGAGACAGGCATAGCCAGAAGCTGTTTTTGAATTCGGTATATCAAAGGACTCCTACTGTTTTGTCTTGCGATAGCCGCTAGACTTGACGCTGAATCGCTGAGTATGGAGTATTTCTGCTGCTGATATGTGTTAGTGTGCCTAATTGCAGTGCTGATGCGCTGATAGATAGAAGCTGTACTTGGTATACCGAGTTGTTCAATCCTAGTTTCCTCTTCCATTCAAATATTACAGTACCATTTTCCAGTGTGCAGAAAGCACTTCCCGTGCTGTTCTCAGTTTTGGAGCCCTCTTTTATAAGAAGGTTATTAAACAGAACTTTGGAATTGGGTCGTCGATGACGTCGAAGAGATTATAAGCAGCTGCAGGAAAGTTTCTACGAAGTAGCTGCTGTCTCTGAATTGAGAGCAGGTATCTTCTCATGTGAGAAGTAAGTTCACCACCCCATATTGCCCTCTTAAAGTATGTGCTGGTAAAATAAAAGTTTTAAATTACGACTTTTTAATAAAAGATATTCAAATAATTTCTTAAATAAATAGCACTTATTTGTATTCACATAAGAAATTAAGTTTAAGTTTCCTTAAAAGAAACTACGCAATTTGTTAGAATTTATTTCCTTTATGGGCTGTTTCAGTGAACTGAAAAAATTTTCAAAGAACTTCCAAAGATGTAGTAATAAAAGCAATTAAATATCCCATAAAAAGTAAATGAAATATATTTAATATTCTACATATTTTAATATACTATTGATTCAATTTTTTTCTTATACAAAGAATTATTTTATGATATAGCTCCACGTATAAAATTTATACTTAATGTAAATTTAGTTACTTAATATACATTACAATTTGTATTTGCTTAATGTAATTATTTCATTATAAGTGTATTTAATGAAAAAAGCAATCTATACGATTATGCTATTACTTTTGAAAATAAACATTGAAAACTTGTGCTGTACACTAATTTGCATTCTGGTGGAAATTTATGAAAGTCGAAGTATAATAAAACCAAAACGATAAGATAACTGATTAATAAAAGCCTCAGAAATCTAAAAAAGAAAAGGATCGTAAAATGCTATTCCAAGTCCTTCTTAAAGAAACACCTTTGGAAGAAGTCTTTTAAAAAATTAGAATATCAAATTTAGAATAACTGCAGAATAAGACCTTTCACCTTAATAAAATCTTTGAATTTTTCTATGTTAATACTCCCATATTTTAAATGAATTAAAACTAATTAGTATAAACTTGTAGAGTCTTTAGGTTTTTATGAAGTAGGAGACATGAAAAATGAGTAATGCCCTTCCCGGGGCTCGAACCTGGGGATATCAAATATGCGTCGAATATGCTTCCAATTTAACCCCAAAGGCATCCGCAAACGAGAGACAAAATACCTTATAAACTCACAATTTCAAATTATTATTTTATTTTTGATGTAGAAATTATGTCTAGTAGTATTATATAGCGTCATCATTCATGAGTTTTTTAAGTTCATTTTAAGACTTGGTTCTTTTAAATGCTAAATGCTAAAAAATATTAGCAGTTATCTTTCATAGATAAAGTGTTTAAAAGTTAAAAGTTGTGAATAAGTTTACAGGTTGTTATGTAAAAGATCTTAGTATGGTAAATTAAATGAACAATGTAGTTTGTATTCCCAATTTCCTCACTATCATTCATTTGCACATATCAGAGAATTAAGTAAAAGATTATTCTTTGTACGCAACTGTTGCTGTAAGAACATGAAACTTCAAAATTCCCAGTAATGTAGTACTTCTTGAAGCGCACGCAAATTTCAAAAAGCCAGAGCAACTGAAGGGTTGCCAAACTGTAATAAATATTAATATGGTAACGCTATCTACGTCTGCAGAATTCGAGAAGTGTACTGCTATCACCGGAATATTTGATTTAATTATAAAATTCGCAAATGAAAGATATATTGTATAAAGGGTTAAAACGAAAATTTATAACATTTTTATGCAGCTAGTTTTGCATAACACCATAACTTACAGATACAGTTATACATTACTGATAGGTTGTGTATGTTAGCCATATATCATCCTTTTTAAATGAAACCAACAGCCTATATCACGAATTCATTAAAAAATATTGAAACCCAAAACTGAAAATCTGCAGTAACGATTAGAATGGGTCATTCAACATAGAGTCTGCGAATTTAGAGACACTTTTATTATATTTGAGGTATATGAAAGGACATTTCACTATCTTAAGATTCATTCGATATCTCGTGAAAAATTCGCATTAAACAGCATCATGAAAATAATTCAATAATATTATAAGGTATTTTCTCCCTCCTTCCAGCATACCTTCGTGGTGTAACTGGAAGCACACTCGGTGCGTATTCGAGAGGTCCCGGCAAGAGGAGTGCTTTCATCTCTCGTGTACTCCTGTTTCAAAATAACCTAACAACACTGCAATATAATCGCACACTGTGATAAATAAAAAACTGTGTATTTTATTTAGGAGCAAATTCCTAAATATGAAACACCAAATTCTTAAAAATGAGATACTGTTCTTATGTGCCTTTTCACGCTACAGAAATCTGATTTTAAGAAATGGAATTCAATCATTGGGAAATTAGAAAGTTTCTCTTCTTTCCTGCATATTTTGACATATAACATATTTTATTGGCATTTTCAATTGAATTTTCTGTTTTAATTTAAATAAACATTAAAAGAGTATTCTTTAGGGAAGGTGATCAGAAAAATTAGCAGCATTCTAATGAATTTCCCAAACTTGACAAATTACACCTTCATTGATAAAAAGATGAAAACAATTCGCTGAATTAAAGAAAAACTTGATCCTCTCTTCACTGAACTGATTGCCAGGATTTTGAAATTAATATTGTTACAAAGAAAACAATTGAACAATTTTATTAGCTCTTTATTATTCATAAATATCTAGAACTAAAATATACAACTTTTTTTTCCTTTTATGAAAGATAAATTTCTTTACATTTATTGGGTTTAAAATTAAAATATTCTCATTTTCAAAACTATCATTATCAAAATCAGATGAATTAGCCGAATAATTTTTTATACAACTGCAAAACCTGTATTCTCTTTTAATTGTTCTTGCCAATTAAATATGCAAACTAAATGAGCACGTAAAATTTTAAAAAATAATAATTAAACCATAAACTAAAATAATATAAACAATAAGAAAATAATATTTTATGCAGCTGAATTTAGCAAGCACACAAGAGCTACTTGTATGACAGAAGGGCTATTATCGAGACGATATTTAAAGAGAAGATTAGCTTATATCCTCATTATATCCTCTTTATATCCTCTAGGCTTATACCCTCGTTACTCCTTAGGGTGAAAATATCCAAGCAGCAAATTTATTCACTGCAATTCGAACACGGGTCAAACGTTTAAATGTGCACTCAGCCACAGGTGGACCAAGCAAATTTTTTAGCAACAGATACGTAAACGAAATTTTAAACAGTTAGATTAGAACTTTCTGTCACATTTTTGTTGGTTGCAAATTCCCGCAAATTAATTTTTTCGAGAAAGAAATAAGTTTGTTATTTCCACGGGGTAATTCATTAAAAAGTGAATAGCGTGTACAAGACTTGAGCATTGTGTAAACATAAGAAAAGAGAAATGTTCAAATAAAATAAAATAATTAGAATCAACGCTCATGGAAATTGCAGAATGAGTAGATTCTTCTACGTTTGCTAAACGACGAAATTATGAAGTCCTAAAGGGCTCAGCTTGCATACTGTTACCTTTGATTAAGACACAATAACACGCCGAACAAATACTAATTCAGAAGTCAAACAACAAAAATGAGCGTTATATTTACAAAATTTTCACAGGACTAGTTTCGATGGTTTTACCGAACCACCATCCTCAGCTGCAAAACTGCAAATGAACAGGACAGGAAATAATGATTAGATAAGACAAGAAAGCCTGGACAAGAATAAGCAAGTGGCGCCATCTGTTGGTGAAACTAGAATTAAAACATAATTTCTTTAAAGGCCGAAGGCAAATTTGGATTGGAATTAGGATCGTTAACTAGAACAGGAAGATTTTTATGAATGTGAAATGCCTCTAGAAAATCCAGTTCTCCAATGGAAGATGTTTTGGGAATAATTTTGGCAGCAGAGAAATTGAAAGTGTGATTTTCGGACCAACAATGTTGAGCAACAGAAGACTTCTGTGTTTCCTTTTTTCTAACATATGCCTCATGTTCCTTGACGCGAAATTTTAAGGCTCTCTTAGTTTGGCCAATGTAAATTAAACCACACTGGCAAGGAATCCTATAAATACCCCAGGAATTC